TTGCGAAATAGGCCCCGGGGGCGATTTCCAGTTACTGTCGGTACTGTAATTTCAAGAGCTTACGGGTCGCTCGCATCAATCAACAAACGAAAACCCCGTACGAATAGCCGCTTCTGGTGCTGAATCGCCCAAGATTGGACAAACCAACGTAAGCGTAATTGAGCAAAAATTACTCAAAACTCCTTTGACAAGAATTCAATTACCAGCCTACTTATAAAACTGTGGTTATTGTTTAAGAATTATTTGTAGATATTAATGTGATGACTATAGTTGGAGAGATAATTCAACCATTTCCTCTGTTAGGATGTTTGTAGAGACTGTGGTATTTGAGCAAGAAAATTGTTCATAGGTTAGTCACTAATTTTTGAATTTGTCCTTCCAATCCAAAAATGTTCTATGGAAACTGAGAAGACTTTTTTGGCAAAGCAGGACACTGGCCTCTCTGCTTGCGTCATGCCTGTAACTGATTGTGATAAAAAGAGACCTTCCTCCATTCTTTTGACAGAATTTAGGAGGAAGTTCTCTTCTTGCTTTGCAAAAATCCCATTGTTTCCTTTCATAAGCGCGTTGTAACCCATCCTAATGTTGTCAGTTAATCACCAATATCCCGAACCAACCAGCGACTCGATCTGCCAACTTGGATTAAAGAAACCTTTTTCTCCGCTCTCTTTTTTGGTATGAATGCGAGTGATAGAAGGTTTATGGCCTTTTATTATAATAATTATTTACAGTAGAAAATTATTATTTGCGCCTCAATAATAGCTAATGCTCAGGATTATGTATAACTCAGAACACGACTTTTATCTAACAAAAATTAAGTAAAATCTAAGAATATTCAGATTTGTCAATAGAGTTGATAAATTACATGTATGTTTTCTTTAAGGATCTCGCCGCCAGAGAACGCTTCTGGTTGCAGATGATGAACCACAAGTACGTCGATATACTTACTCGTTTCCCTTTGTCTTTATCAAAACTAAGTCTTGCACATTTTACAGAACCTTAAGGCCCTTAAAAGCAATGGATCGAAGCTAAAGTTCGCTAGTAGGCAGCTGTTCCATCAATGTTGACCATCATAACCGTCTGTGAGTTGTATCATGTGTATTGACTGGGCCTAGCCACCGCCAATCTTAACATGGACTGAGAAATTCAACTTTTTGTTAACATGTGAATTCCATTTTGTTAACAATGAGGACATTCTAACTAGTTCAACATGGATTAACTTTTGTAGGGATTCCCAGTGTTCGGGCAACTCTTTATTAATTCTAGCTTTGTGAGCTGGTTCATTAGGTGGCTGGCTATTTTATTTGATCCCCCGTCTTGCCAGTGTGACAGGAGGTTTTTTGTGCCAATTGTTTATAAGTCTCTCCATGACTACTAGCCTTTGCTCACCCCTGGACGTGGAGAGACGGGCAAGTGGCGAGTATTAAACCTCCGCACCCTTTTCACATTGTATAGAATTTGACCACCTACTCAACCTCTTACTTTATCTTCTGTACATTGTTACATAACAAATCTTCTTAATCACACAAGTCGTTCCATTGCATCACATAGGACTATGATATTTATATGTCCTTTTTTGCTTACACTGTTTAACTAGAACGCCATCTTCGGCTAATTTTTATTTATGCATAAATTTAATATTTTAGAGTTGCTGATTTGGGCCTGGCAAAAGACCTCAACCCAGCATGCATCGCAGAGTAATTTCGTTGAAGTGGACGGCTCCTGAAGCCATAAACACAAGTAGTGAGTTGCAAGTTTATTTTAATTCGATCTAACCCTTGGTCAGAGCCTTGCTTCTTAATTGCCTTACTTGTGGACCTTTTTTGACCACATTTAGTACGGTCGTTCCTTAAATCCCATGTTGGTTTCTAAGTTTTTAGCTGCACACTATTGCTTCGGTATATACACTGGCATATATCTGGACACAGCTGTATCTGTTGTTGTGGATGAGCCTTAATTCCTTTGTTATTCATTAAAGCCGCTCGGAAGACCTGTTTTATAGTTTGTTTATAAATGGCCCTTCAATACGAAATCTCGTTTAAAAATCTCACGTAAGTAATATGAATATTATTTTTACTCAAACCGGACCCCTCTCTACCTTTCTTTCTAGCAATATTCAACCCATAGCGATGTTTGAGTTTGGTGTTCTACTGTGGGAGATTTATCTATTGAAGAAACCCTTACCAGAGTAGTGAGTTGTTTTTCGATTATTTATCACTTGTGCTCAAAAATACTTTTTACTTATCGAGTACTATTAGTGGCAAGACGTGTCACATAAGGATACCTCATGTTAATTTTGGAATTTTTTGTCCCAGGCGAGTATCGGTATTGTTTTGTATTTGATTGAAGATAGCTTCTAGGATACTGAAGGTTGTGTATCAGAGCATTGTGTTGGGCCTTTCTCTCGCTTGACCGACACCTGCTGATTCGGCAAATGGATTACAGAGAGCTGGCACTTCCTTATTCTGCGGTAAGTTCGTCATGTCAGAACTCGTAACCCCAAACCTTTGAATTTGTTGTCCTGCGACACACTGACCATCAACCGAAAACATAGTCGAAATACTGCCTAGGATCGTGTTTAAATCTATGGGATAACGACGGAGAGATACCTCTACAGGAGCGCCTGTCTATGCGACTCGGGTGTCTACAATTTTTGAAACTAGAGCATCGATTTTTAAAACTGTTAAATTTCAACTAAAAGATCCGAATGATAACCATGTCACACGAACTTGTACAAGTTCTCTCTCTTTATCAGTTCGAATAATTCTAGCAGTGCCGTCGAACGAAATTCCTATTGGGGGAGGGGGCTGCCCATTGTTTTTCTCTCCATTCAGTCACTGTAAAAAGGAATATAAGATACAGTTTGTAATTATTCCCCCCCCCCTTCCCCCGCTTTCCGACGCCCGGCGCTTAGTCGGAAATAGCGGGACACTCTTGAAAGTGAGAAGGTAAACCAAATCGGGTAAGGTTGGAGATGCCGCCAAACAGCCAGTAATTCTTAGGCCTTACCGTCTAAGAGCAAAAATAGTTACGTATTATTTGAGTCTTTTATGGCCCCAGTTTACATGTTTTGAAAGATATTGTGATTCTATCTACAGGTGTTGTATCAATTAACTCGTTTTTGAGACTTTTACAATTATTTCAAGCTCATCTTTAAAAAAGTAACATTCTGGAAAATGATGTTGATAAGAAAAATTGAGTAAAAATGTATATGTTTAATTTATCTTTTCTGTTGTAAATGTTGAAAAGCTTGTTGAATGCGCCCTGGTTAGTATTGAATAATGTCATTTATGACTTCCTCGTACCTTAAGTGAAAAGAAAACAGCTGGTCTTGCCGACGATTAAAAATTATTGGATCACGTTGCATATTCCATTATCATAGGACACGTTGCCGTATTTTAAAACCGTCATTTTGTCCAGACTGCAAACGAGAGCTGTTTGTTATTAATCTTCGTCTGCTCTTCAGCCGCTAAGATGTGATGAAAAGTCAGAGAGGGATATCGCATGACAATACCCGACGTTGTCCAAGGCAAGTACGTTAATTGCAGCGGTTGCAGGAACATTGACCTCTTAGAAGGCCTTCGTTTAAGGAATGGAGGAGAGAATCTGATAGGGACAATGTTTTATAGATTGTTATAGATTTCTTTACGATTGAGTATTAAGCAGAATGTTACATCTGGAATCGAGTTACCAAGTCGTTTATGTAAATGCCTTTTTTTTCATAAAACCCAATTAAGAGCCTGATTGTCGATGCATTTTATTGACACTCAAGCAAAATCCGGACCCGGACTGGCCCTGGCTAGCTTTGCTTTTACACCCGGCCGTTTTGGATTCTGAACGGATTTGAAATTTAGTTGTTTTCATGGTCGCATAAACATACCAGTCGTTCTCAATTGGTTTCCTTGCTAGCACGAACGGGATGATCCATGGCTTGTACTGTTTATTCGGATGTTACAATCCCAGTTGCCACTTTCACACCCATGGTCCGAACCAGCACTTTTTTTTTTGAGGTGATGTTGTCGGTGGGGGAAAGATTAGCCACCCACTGCCTTGGAGCTGAAGGACCCGCGAAGTTATAGTATTGTCCAAAACAGTAACAGAACAATTTATAATCACGTTTAAGACGTCATCGTGAGCCCATCTCTCTTTTGCCCACCCGAAAGCTCTCCGCCGTCGTCTTTTCTTGATCCATAAGCGCCATAATATTTCTGATCCAGTTCTATTCTTCCATCCTGTTTAGTTGATATGATCTTGTATTTTTTTGTTAAATCAAAGATTGGATTAGGTTACTACATGCCAGTGGATCGGCTTTCATTATTGCATCCTTGTCACGGTTGGTCCCCTCAATCTCTACTGTTTGAATCCGTTTCTGATACATATGGAAAGATCATGTCTAAACTATGTTTGCTGCACAACTTAATGTCTTTGTACACAGGCCTAGCTAATATGCGCCTTTATGTAATTAGATTTACATATTCAGGGGAAATGATATACTAGTGCTATGTTCTTTATTTTTCATACATAATTTAACATGTTCGTTTGTGTATTTCGTAAAGAATAAGCTCTCTCAAATGTAACCTGAATAAACTAATTTAGGGCTAACAAGCGAAAATTCGAGTTTCTTGAAACAGATATCACTTTCTGTAAAGATTGGATCCTGCAAAATCACAAAGCTATCATTTGGATTATTTCTAGTGCGTTTTTCAACCAAGGTTGTTTTATATCTCTAGAAATAAATATTCCCATGCTCAGGACATTTAGTGTTAACCATTAAGTGTTTTTTTCCATAACTACAAGCTTTCCTATGACTGTTTCTCTCTGTGGTCCATTGTAATATTTTGAAAAACAGGACAATTTAATGTCATCATTCATTGATGATGTTTGATTTGATGATTTGTTT